TGGGGACAAGGGACAGCCTGGCACCCCCAGATTGACCATGGGGACAGCCAGGGGGACACCCTGCCACTCCCCCAGGACAACCAGGGAAGGCTCAGGGTGGAAATTTGGGGAAATTCTTCCTGGAAAAGGGAAAAGGCCCTGAAAGGGCTGTCTGGGGAGGTTGGGAGCGGCCACCCCGGAGGCGCCCGAGGCGGTGGCACTTGGTGACACGGGGGGGACGGATCCCAAAGGTGCTGCCTGCCCTCACGCCGGGATTTTGGGGGGCTCCCCCCAGCCGGCTTCCAGCAGGTGTACCTGGAGCCGCTGCTCAAGTTCCACGAGAGCCTGCGGCGCCTGCGGCTGCACGAGGCCGAGTACGCCCTGCTGCAGGCCATGCTGCTCTTCTCGCCAGGTGAGCCCCACGCTGGGGGGACGCGGGGACACCCCCCTGTCCCCAAGGGCACGCTGAGGTCACCCCACGTTCCCCCCCAGACCACGCCGGCATCGCCCAGCGCGAGGCCATCGACCGCTTCCAGGAGAAGGTGGCCCTGACCCTGCAGAGCTACATCGAGCACCAGCACCCCCCCAGCGAGGGCAGGTCAGCCCCACGGGTGGGTGGCAGCGTCCCCAAGGGGGTTGGGGATGGCCACCAGGCCCAGCTGGATGTCCCCGTGTCCCCAAGGTTCCTGTACGCCAAGCTGCTGCTGCTGCTGACGGAGCTGCAGACGCTGAAGGTGGAGAACACGCGGCAGATCCTGCACATCCAGGACCTGTCGGCCATGACGCCGCTGCTCTCCGAGATCATCAGCTGAGCCCCGTGTCACCCCCCGGTCCCCGAGCGTCACCCCCGGCCGCCACCGGGCACCGAGTAAAGCTCCTTTATTTATCCGGGCTCCCGGCTGCATCACCGCAGGGAAACTGAGGCACGGCCACCACGGCACTGGGTTCAACAGGGACCCCCAGTGGCAGCAGCCACCCCCAGGAGGTGGCACTGGTGACAGTGGGGACCCCCAGCCCCCCATGGCCGCCACCCCCCGAGGGTGGCATTGGCGACAGTGGGGACCCCCAGCCCCCTGTGGCGCTGTCACTCGCTGTCCCCAGCCCGCCGTGTCCCCGCGGGTCCTGGTGGCACCTGCACGGCCCCGCCTGGCAGCTCCCTGAGCAGGACAGTGCCACTCGCGCGCTGTCCCCGCTGTCCTGTCCCTGTCCTGTCCCCTCTGTCCTGTCCCCGCTGTCCTGTCCCCGCTGTCCCCTCTGTCCCATCCCGTCCATGTACCGCTGTCCCCTCTGTCTTCCGTCCCGTGTCCGTGTTCTGTGTCCCACTGTCCTGTCCCTGCTGTCTCCTGCTGTCCCATGTCCGTGTCCCTGCTGTCCCATGTCGCGTGTCCCTGCTGTCCCGTGTCCTGTGTCTGTGTCCCTTGTCCTGTTTTCCCGTGTCCCCGCTGTCCCATGTCCCCTCTGTCCCATGTCCGTGTCCCGTGTCCATGTCCTGTGTCTGTGTCCCGTGTCCCGCTGTCCCGTGTCTGTGTCCATGCCCGTGTCCATGTCCCATGTCCGTGTCCTGTGTCCCGTGTCCGTGTCTGTTTCCATGTCTGTGTCCTGCTGTCCCATGTCTAGTGTCCGTGTCCCATGTCTGTGTCTGTGTCCCGTGTCCGTGCCCCGTGTCCCCTGTCCCATGTTTGTGTCCGTGTCCCATGTCCATGTCCCGTGTCCGTGTCCCTGTCTGTGTCCATGTCCCCTGTCCGTGTCCATGTCCCGTGTCTGTGTCTGTGTCCATGTCCCATGTCCCCTGTCCCGTGTCCGTGTCCTGTGCCCATGCCCGTGTCCCGTGTCCGTGTCCATGTCCCGTGTCCGTGTCCATGTCCCGTGTCTGTGTCCGTGTCCATGTCCCGTGTCCGTGTCCATGTCCCGTGTCCGTGTCTGTGTCCGTGTCTGTGTCCGTGTCTGTGTCCGTGTCCCGTGTCCCCTGTCCCGTGTCCGTGTCCGTGCCCGTGTCCCGGCTCACGCCACGGTGAGGCCGAAGCCGCAGTGGAAGCGGTTCCTGCGGTGGTTCAGGAAGGCGCCCAGCGCCAGCGTCACGGGCAGGGGCGGCAGCCGCTTCTCCAGGACCCCCCCCACGCTCCAGCTGCTGTCCAGGAGCCCTGCGGGGACAGCGGGGACACCTGAGCGCCACCTCCGCCGCCGGCGGGGACAAAGGCCACCTGGGGGGGGGGACGCACCTCTGAACACGGCGTTGGCCCGCGGCAGGTTGAGCTGGTAGCCAAAGGCGAAGGAGCTCTCCTGCAGGCGCGGGTTGGCCTCCAGCTCCACCCCCACCTGCACCTGCGGGCACACCGTCAGGGGACACGGGGACCGTGTGGGACACACGGTCAGGGGACACGGGGACACGGGGACAGAGGGACAGAGGGACAGAGGGACAGAGGGGACAGTGTGGGACACGGGGACAGTGTGGGACACACGGTCAGGGGACACGGGGACACAGGGACAGAGGGACAGAGGGGACAGAGGGGACAGAGCGGGGGACAGCGGGGACACGGGAACAGAGGGGACAGAGGGGACAGAGCAGGGGACAGCGGGGACAGAGGGGACAGCGGGGGACAGCGGGGACACAGCGGGGGACAGCGGGGACACGGGAACAGAGGGGACAGAGGGGGGGACAGCGGGGACAGAGGGGACAGAGCGGGGGACAGCAGGGACACAGTGGGGGACAGCAGGGACAGAGGGGACAGTGTGGGACACACGGTCAGGGGACACAGGGACATGGGGACAAGGGGACAGAGGGACAGAGGGGACAGCGGGGACACAGCGGGGGACAGCGGGGGACAGAGGGGACAGTGTGGGACACACGGTCAGGGGACACGGGGACACGGGGACAGCGGGGACAGAGTGGGGGACAGCAGGGGACACAGCGGGGACACAGCGGGGGACAATGAGGACACAGCGGGGGACAGTGGGGACACAGCGAGGACAGTGTGGGGGGACACAGCGGGGGACAATGGGGACACAGTGCGGGACAATGAGGACACAGCGGGGGACAGTGGGGACACAGCGGGGACAGTGTGGGGGGACACAGCAGGGGACAATGGGGACACAACGGGGGCAATGGGGACACAGCAGGTGACACAGCGGGCGACAGCAGGGGACAATGGGGACACAGCGGGGGACAATGGGGACAGAGCAGGGACAGCAGGGACAGTGTGGGGGGACACAGTGGGGGCAATGGGGACACAGTAGGGGACAATGAGGACACAGCAGGGGACAGCAGGGGACAATGGGGACACAGCGGGGGCAATGGGGACACAGCGGTGACATAGCGGGGGACAACGGGGACACCTTGGGGACACCCACCTGCTCGTTGGCCCGGTGGTAGTAGCTGGCGTGGGCCCCCCCGTAGCCCACGTTCAGCGTTGCCTCCCAGTTCGGGGCTGCGACAGAGAGCCACCGTCCCCACGTGTCCCCAAGGTGTCCCCATGTGTCCCCAGGTGTCCCCAAGGTGTCCCCACATGTCCCTAAGGTGTCCCCAAGGCATCCCCATGTGTCTCTGAGCTGCCCACAGGCATCCCCAGGTGTCTCCAAGGTGTCCCCAGATATTCCCGAGGTGTCCCCAAGTGTCCCCAAGGCATCCCCAGCTGTCCTCTGGCATCCCCAGGTGTTCCCGAGGTGTCCTTGGCTGTCTCCAAGATGTCCCCAAGGTGTCCGCAGACATCCCCCAGGTGTCCCCAAGGTGTCCCCAAGGCATCCCCAGATGTCTCTGAGGTGTCCCCAAGTGTGCCCAGGCATCTTCAGCTATCCCCAGCTGTCCCCATTGTCCCCAGTGTCCCCAGTGTCCCGGTGTCCCCATTGTCCCTGTTGTCCCCAGTGTCCCCACTGTCCCCGGTGTCCCCGGTGTACCCAGTGTCCCCATTGTCCCCAGTGTCCCCATTGTCCCTGGTGTCCCCATTGTCCCCGTTGTCCCCGTTGTCCCCATTGTCCCCGGTGTCCCCGCTGTCCCCGGTGTCCCCACCCGAGTACTTTCCGGCCAGGGTGAGGATGGCTCCCTCCTCTCCGGGCCGCCGGTGGTACACCAGCTCCGCACCCAGCACCAGCCGGGCCGTGACGCTCTGCAGGAAATGGGCCACCAGGATCCCTGTGGGGACAGCACGGTGTCACCGGGGCCACCGGGGCCACCAGGATCCCTGCGGGGACAGCATGGTGCCACCGGGGCCACCAGGGCCACCAGGATCCCTGCGGGGCCACCAGGATCCCTGTGGGAACAGTGCGGTATCACTGGGGCCACCAGGGCCACCAGGATCCCTGTGGGGACAGCGCGGTGTCACCGGGGCCACCAGGGCCACCAGGATCCCTGCGGGGCCACCAGGATCCCTGCAGGTACAGCGCGGTGTCACTGGGGCCACCAGGGCCACCAGGATCCCTGCGGGGCCACCAGGATCCCTGTGGGGACAGTGGGGTGTCACCGTGTCACCATGCCACCACATCACTGTGTCCCCTGTGTCACCATGTCACCATGTCCCCTGTGTTCCCGTGTCACCATGTCCCCTGTGTCACCGTGTCCCGTGTCACCACGTCCACCGTGTCCCGTGTCACCACGTCCCCTGTGTCCCCGTGTCCCGTGTCACCACGTCACCCGTGTCCCGTGTCCCCTGTGTCACCGTGTCCCGTGTCACCACGTCACCCATGTCACCGTGTCACCACGTCCCCCGTGTCCCCTGTGTCACCATGTCCCATGTCACCATGTCCCCTGTGTCACCGTGTCCCATGTCACCACATCCCCTGTGTCACTGTGTCCTGTGTCCCGTGTCCCGTGTCCCATGTCCCCTGTGTCACCATGTCCCGTGTCACCATGTCCCCCGTGTCCCGTGTCCCGTGTCACCACGTCCCCCGTGTCCCGTGTCCCGTGTCCGTGCTCACCGGAGCCGGCCAGCAGGTCGGGGTTGCCCAGCGTCAGCGCCGCCGTGCTCTCGTCCCCCCGGTACTCGGCGTCGAACTGCCACGTCACGAAGCGGGAGCGCTGCGTCTGCGCACACGCCGCCGTGGGACACGGGACACGGGGGTGACACAGGGTGACATGGGACACCGGACACGGGCACAGGGCTGACGCACGGACACGGGGACACGGGACACCGGACACGGGGCACATGGGGTGACACAGGGACATGGGGATGGGGACAACGGACACGGGGACACACAGCAGGTGACACAGGGCGGGTGACACAGGAGGGACAGGGGTGGCACACAGGGAGTGACACGGGTGATAGGGATGGCACACAGGGGATGACACACAGCAGGTGACACAGGGGGTGAAACAGGGGGTGACATGGGTGACACAGGGGTGACACGGGTGACACACAGGGGGTGACAGGGTGACAGGCGCACCTGGAACACGGCCTTGGCGCGGAGCCGCTCCCCCAGCAGCTGCAGCGCCTGCGCGTTCAGGCTGCCCGCGCTGTCCATGTCCCCGAGCAGCGTGGGGAACACCTGGGGACAGCACCGGGACATGGGGACACCCCGGGGACACCTGGGGACATGGGGACACCCAGGGGACATGGGGACACCCCAGGGACACTCACGGGAACACCTGGGGACAGCACCGGGACATGGGGACACCCCGGGGACACCTGGGGACATGGGGACACCCCAGGGACACCCACGGGAACACCTGGGGACAGCACGGGGACATGGGGACACCCAGGGGACACCCAGGGGACACCCAGGGGACATGGGGACAGCCCCAGGGACACCCACGGGAACACCTGGGGACAGCACGGGGACATGGGGACACCCCAGGGACACCCACGGGAACACCTGGGGACAGCACGGGGACATGGGGACACCCAGGGGACACCTGGGGACATGGGGACACCCAGGGGACACCCAGGGGACATGGGGACAGCCC